CTGCGACTGAACTCCAACTAGCTACAACTATCAAGGACAATAAAAAGTCCTTTTTTAGATATGTGGGGAGCTGAAGGAAAAGCAAGGGTAACACTGGACTCCTGCTAAACCAAATGGGACAACTGACAACTGACGCCCAGGAAAAAAACAACTTGCTAAATGAGTACTTTGCATCGGTTTTTCACCAGTCCCAAGGGATGTCCCTGCCCATTATGGGACGAGAAGGCCTGGGTGAGGGAGATTCCTTGCACTCCATCAAAGCTGACTCCGAAGGAACACCTTGAGAGGCTGGATACCTTCATGTCAGCCGGCCCTGACAGTTTACACCCCAGGGTACTCAAGGAGTTGGCAAGCATCATAGCTCAGCCTCTGGCATGGATCTTTGAGAACTCCTGGTGCTCTGGTGAAATGCCTGAAGAGTGGAAGAAGTCCAATGTGGTGCCTATCTTCAAGAAAGGAAGGAAAGTGGATCTGGCAAACTACAGGCCCATCAGCCTGACCTCTATCCTGGGAAAGGTCTTAGAAAAAATTATCAAAGAGACCATTCTTAACAGACTGGCCAAGGGCAACATCCTGAGGGATAGCCAGCATGGGTTTGTTGTAGGTAGGTCTTGCTTGACCAATCTCATTTCCTTTTACGACCAGGTGACCTATCACCTGGACAAGGGAGAGGAGATTGATGTCATATATCTTGACTTCAAAAAAGTCTTCAATCTGGTATCCCATGATCACCTCTTAGCAAAACTGGCCAACTGCAGCCTCGGCTTCAGCATGATCCACTGGCTGGGGAATTGGCTCCGTGGTCAGAACCAGAGGGTGGTGGTTGATGGAAATCAATCGTCATGGTGCCCTGTGACCAGTGGGGTCCCTCAAGGCTCTGTCCTTTGGCCTATACTATTCAACATCTTCATTAATGATGTGGACATTGGTGTCAGAAGCAGACTGGCCAAGTTCACCGACAACACCAAACTTTGGGGTAAAGCATCCACACCTGAGGACAGGAGGGCAATCCAGGCTGACCTTGACAGGCTCAGGAAATGTGCGGACGAGAACCTGATGGTGTTTAACACTGAAAAATTCAAGGTTCTCCACCTTGGGAAGAAAAACCCGCAGAATCCTTATAGGCTTGGCAGTGCTACGCTGGCTAGCACTATGGACAAAAGGGACTTGGGGGTTATGTTTGACCACAAGATGAATGTGAGCCATCAATGTGATGCTTCAGCTAGTAAAATGAGCAAAATGCTGGCTTGCATCCATAGATGCTTCTCAAGCAAATCCCAGGATGTCATTCTCCCATTGTACTCGGCCTTGGTGAGGCCACAGCTGGAGTACTGCATCCAGTTTTGGGCTCCACAATTAAAAAAGGATGGGGAGAAGCTTGAGCGAGTGCAGAGGAGAGCCACGTGCATGATCAGAGATCAGGAAAACAGACCTTAGGATGAGAAGCTGAGAGCTATGGGACTCTTCAGCCTGGAAAAGCGCAGGCTCATGGGTGATCTGGTAGCTGCCTGTAAGTTTATAAGGGGTGCTCAGCAGGATCTGGGGTAACGTTTGATCAGCAGAGCGCCCCAAGGGATGACAAGATCGAACAGTCACAAACTCCTCCAAGACCGTTTCAGGCTGGACATAAGGAAGAACTTCTTTACTGTCTGAGCCCCCAAGGTCTGGAATAGACTGCCGCCAGAGATGGTTCAAGCACCCACATTGAACACCTTCAATAGAAATTTGGATGTTTATCTTGCTGGGATCCTATGACCCCCGCTGACTTCCTGCCCCTGGGGCAGGGGGCTGGACTCGAAGATCTTCTGAGGTCCCTTCCAGCCCTAATGTCTATGAAGTTTATGAAGTTATAAGTAGAGCTGACAATGACACCTGCAGTTAAAGTGACTCAACACTTTCCATGAAAAGGATTTGTCTTAACAAGAAAATATAGTAGCAAAATTATAATTGTATGACTACAGTTAAAGCAAAATAATGCCCCCAGCAGACAGACTTACTCTAGATTATGATAACTCCATACAGAGTTGTATTTGTACAGTTCTTGTTATAAATTTCTCCATACAGATAAAAACTTTGACCTCATTTTTGGTTATTTTTGCTAAACATTAACCATTGAACTGAAAATTTTATGGTAGACATCTGCCCGAAATTATATTTTTTAAGTTCAGCAAAAATAATTCAGTTGTGAATGATGTTAAAGACAATACACTGTTTTTCACAAGATAATTCCTAGAATTATTATGATGCTATAGAGAAAAGAGCTGAAATTTGGAGGGGATGCTCTAGCAGTAGAGAAGTGCTTTTTGCTTTCCCCAGGATTATCTATTCAAATAAGCCAAAATAATCTGCATATACTAATTGTGTCTAGGTAGTGGCAGGCAACTGAAGTCAGCCTGCTGCCCCCACATACAGCTTCTATGTGAAAAACCTGCAGTACATATTCTGTCTCCAGAAAGTATGCTGAGATGCTCACAGCACAACTTTTGCTGCAATCATTCCTACCAGAAAGCGCAGCTTTCATGGTGAAGGTAACTATTACTGATGGTAAGGAGATAGTCTCTTGTGTGCCCCGGTGCTCCTTATGATGAGGTAGTAAATTTTTCTTATTTTGGGATTAAAAGAATTTAAGCAGACTAAGCGATTTATCCAGAAATTGTTGCAGTATTGCTAATGAGGGCAGCAGAAGAAAGGATAGAAGTAAGAAAGTCAGTTCCATGAGTAGTTAGAACCCAAGGTTCACAGGTGGTGGAAGAAATCAAAACTGTTGGATTTACTTTGGCTTTTAGGCTTCTTTTTCTGACCTACTAACCCAACTAAATTGCAGTCCTCTTGTCATGCTCAGTTGGACATGATCTGACAAAACAAATGTTACTGCAGCACAAAGTTGAAGCTCTTCACGAGTAAACCCAAATCCATGGCCAGATAACCATCCTTCTGTCCTTGCAAGCATTCTTCTAACCTAGGAATGACCTCTTCTTGAGTATTTCACCTCCTCAAAAAAGCATGAGAATAAACTGCACCACAACCATGCTTTAAAAAAAATGTTTTAGCTGTCTCCTATACATTAAAGAAGAGAGGTTTGACTTTTTACACTGGTAACAATAGTGAAGTGCAGCAATCTTTCCAACAATCATTTATAAACAGTCTACAATGCAGGTTTTAAAGCACAACAAGCCCTAATTAGTGTTGAAATAAGTATGTTAGCACTGCCCTATGCCATTCTATGGTGTCACTATATGCTAAATTAAGGGACACATTTTCCTTTTTCTTTCATTAGTATTTTAATGCGAGGAGGTAGGAAAAGGCTGATCCATATTCAAGAAGAGAGGAGGGGGAAAAACAATAACAAATTGGTATCTCTTTTGAGAATTGCCCCACAGGCCAAGCATTTTTATGTTCTTAATCATTATTAAATGACTTAACATGACACACAGAGCCTGGCAAATGATTGCATCCTGACATGAGAACGAATTACAAATGAAATGAAAGATCAAGCTGTATTAGAGGACTGCCTCTGGGAAATGAAAATCTTTAATTCTCTTTTATTATTGACATTTATTTGGCTGCCATGAATAACAACATAGCAAAGAGATTCAGCTATGCTTGCACACTGAATAGCTTATCCCAGGGCTCAAAACTGCCTTAACATTTATCATGTTTGCTTTTGTAGCTGACACCACTGCATACACTCTCTATCCATCTTGCATTTATCATGCACATAAAGTGCATTCTCTAATTTAAGTTCATTTTCATAGGGAACAAACAGCAAAGATTAGCAAGTGTCAGTCCTCAAATAAGCTCCCAGTTGTAAAAATATCAAAGAATGGATTAATGGATTTGTTAACAACTCCAGTTTAAGGAATATAATAAATTCAGAGTGAAAATTAAATAAGAACACAGGAGGTTTAAATGTAAGATTTAGGTTTACCAGCATTATTACTAACATGTAGAAAAACATTATATACTGCTATTTTTCAGCCAGCTGTACAAAGCTCCAGTAGGGCACCTCCATATGGTTCATTTGAATATTGCAGTGATTTTCTAGAAGTGACACCATCATCTTTATAATAAAAAAATCCTATCCAACCTTTAACCTATTCTTTTTTTAGAACAGGTTGAGTCTAACACAACCAGTAGAGAAATAATTCAAATTCTTGCCAACTATAAAGCAGTGACACATCTACTTGTTTCCTGGTCCTGCAGTCAAAGGCCCAAGTATTTTCTGGGGAATAAGTAAGGACTAAACTCTTAAGGTACAGAGCACCTTCAACTCTTGTTATTGTTAAAGGGAGGGAATCAGCCCTTAGTCAATATCTTATCTTGTGCGAGACTGAATAACTAAAATAGTTTGGCACCGCAGATGTAGTAATAGTAGTATTTAGTGCGAACACACAGGTGGACAAAATGAAAGAAACTGTCAAAAGACAGGCAACCATGTTTTATAATGTTTAAATCTGTGGTGTACATCATCGTTTCAGAAGCCACTTGCAGCCCAGCTAGAACACTCCCCCCTCCCCATTCCTTTGAGAATAGAAAAGAAGACAGCTGAGAAAAGCAAGAAACAAGGCTTTCTGCTCAAAGCAAAAAAAAGACTGGAAATTCACTTAGTACTGGATTTCACTTCCACATTTTCGCAAATGTTTAAGTGTACTATACAGTTGTCGCAGCTGCTCTCACCAATATCACATGTTCTTGTTTACAGCAAAAATGGCTATACAGATAAAATCTGAAGTAATAAAAAATCAAAGTAAAACCAATTGAAATAATGCATTAGATCTATGTCATAAAAAGAACTTAACTCAGTTTTTAGGCATTCCTGTGAAATATTAACTTCTCAAAGTCAGGACATGCAAGAAGTTAAAAATAGAACAGATACGAGAAACATTGATTTAAGATACCAAATACATTTGAATACCATTTAACCATTATAATTTGTAAAACTCATGCATGATTAACCACAGTCATCTACTGTGTGCAGCCGTATAGTCTAAAAAGTATACCTGTAGCCATTATAGTGTCATCTTTCCCTTGGGTGAAGACTACAATTCGTTGCCTTTTAGGGTTCACCTTTGGCAGGGCTTGTGTCTTCCGGGCTATCTCTTTAATGTCTTCAGTCTATTAATAGTAAGAGAGAAAATTCTTGTAGCTAGCACAGCAGAGAAGTGGAAGATTAGATCTTTATTAGCAGATCAAAGATTTATCTTCCTAGGACAAGATATAAAATAGACTTTATTGTTTGTTGAGAGAGATTTTTTAAAAGGAAGAATATTTAAAGGTTTACGTTGTATCATGAGGCCATTGTCTTTAATCGTGGAAGTGATACTGGAGCAATACCAATTCCTATACTTCAAACCCTGAAAAAAGAATTACAGAGCATTTTCTAATTGGCAATTGCTAGTAATTTTCCCTGCTACTGGATAGATTCTAACCTTGCCTGCCATAAAATTAAAAATAACATAAAGAAGAGAATAACTTAGAAAAACTCAGGGTTTGATTCTCTTCCTTTTTATGCTGGTGTAACCCCACTGATTACAATGGAATTACTGCTGATTTACATTAATGTAGAAGACATATCTTTAGCGATTCTCCACATGCTTTAAAGTGATTACATCTTTAAAGAATACTGTAGGTATGTAGGCACAGAAATTGGCAGACTGAATTGAAGCACTTGTCCCTGCATTCCAGGATCTTACCTCTGAGAATGGCCAGCAACACATACAGTACTTCATTTGGATGCAAGCAACCCCGTAATGGACAGTTAAGGAATGATGTGCCTTTTAGGAGATGATGCTCCTAACCCTATCTGTTGTTAGGTCCTCCTCTGGTCTGAAGCACGAGGGTTTTTCTTCCCAATTTTTTTCTTTTTCTTTTTATCTAATCTAATCTAAATGCAGCTGTTCTCAGTATGTCTACAAACATATCATTCTTTTTTAAATCATATAGCACTAAGCTTTCAGTCATAAAGCTATCTGGGTGTCAACAAGGTACACAAGTTAACCATCTTATGTGAAAAATTGTTTCTTTTTTATCACTTATCCAATTGTTGCCTTTCAATTTCACTGAATGCCCCCGATTCTTTACGAGAGAATAAATAATATATATTTTCACAATAAAATTTATTATAGCTCTTCATTTTCTCTCTATACTATCCAGTCCCATTCTTTTCAATTTGCTTCATATGAAAGAACTGAAACTGAACACAGGGCAGATTTGCTATATAATACATCCCCAGCAAATAATAATAATTTACTATATAATAATAATTTATATAATGGCATTATAATATTTCACCATTATTTAGAGTCCTCTTCTTCATCAAGTCTATTTTTTTTAATAATCATTACCTACTGGACAGAGGTTTTCATTAAGCAGTCCACAATAGTTCCCTCAAGACTTTTACTTGGATAGTTGCAGTAAATTTAACTCAGTTTTTTTCTTCCATTCTTTGTTCTTTTGTCCATTCATAGTGAATTCAAATTTTCCTAATTTTGTTAGATCCTTCAACATTCTTTATAGTCTTCTCTAATATTGGCTAACCTAACTAATTTTAGGCCAATTTTGCCTCAATCACAAGAGTAATATCTTAAGGCACAATTACTTTATAGAGCCTTCACTATTCTACATACGCCAGAAATACTTTTCTGTTGATGTATTGATACCACCTTTCCAAATAAACTAAGTGAATAAAAGCAGTCTTCTGTTGGCATAGCTACATCCACACCAGGGCTAGGGACAGAAAGTATAAATAAATCAGTATAAGTGATTGGAAACCAGTTCAAACCGGTAACACAATAGAAGTTCAGTATTCATAAACCACTTTCAAAATGGCTTGAGCCACTGCAGGTATGTGGCTACATTGCCAGAATCAAAAGTAACCATCTGTTTACTTGCTTATCGGTTCGATCTATGCAGTTTACACTAACCTGTGAAAACTGAATCGATTCAGCCTTAGGCTTTTTGACTGTCTGTACTTAGCTCAGGAGTTTGCCAACATGTGATTTTTTTTCACACTACTAGAAAAGAACTATGTCAGCAGAACTTTGTATTGTAGACCAAGCTTTATTTTTAGTCTATTCTCACCGATTTACCAATGACTTCAATGACATTATTCACAAAGCAAGGCAATATTTAATAGGAGTAAGTTCTACAGAAGCTGTCTGCAATCTAGTGTCTCTGCTCACTTCCTTTTAGAACATTAATATCTGCCATTAAACAACATCAGTCCTAGTATGTTGCATTCTACTTAATATTTTATCATGAGGAAAATCAATTATTTTTTCAAGTTTGCTTTCTGATTCTTAGCCAGTTTCTTATGTTGGCAATATTTTTTTCTTTCCC